CAAATTAGATAAAAAACACAGCCAAAAATAGGTCATAAAAACACCTAAAAGTTATTTCAGAAATAATTTTGATAAAAATATCCTTACAAGGCTTTTGTATTATTCCAACTGCAAGTTGTCCAACTGAGAAGTGGTATCACTAACGGATACATTTGAATATACTTTCGTTCTTTGGTAAGGGAAAAGAGAACAAATTCGACTAGTGCTGGATGTCTGTAGGCTGTACATGGGTGTTATTGAATTAAAATTTATATAATGAGATTGTAACCAATCGATAGCAGGTGGTCCTAAATATTGGATTAGTCGAAGCATTGCTCTACAATCACCTTCTGCACTGTGAGCATGTTTATGCTTTTCACCAAACACACGTTCATGTATATCACCTAAATGAAAGGAATGTTTGTTCGTAGTAGTAGGTAACTTTATTGGACTAGAATGAGATATAGGAACAGGAGTGGATAACTGGTCATCAGTTGAAATAAAGCCAGAATCATCTGAATTTACTCCAGTTAAATGGGAGGCGAACTCGCGAAATAAAGGTAATGTGTCTGTACATATAATTGGTGCATTTGTAGAGTCATTCAGATTGTAATCTTTTCCTTTGACACTCATTATTTGAGCTCTCAATAATGGAAAGTCAAAACGCAGCCCATTATGAGCGATAAAACATACAGGTGAGTCCAATCGATTAAGAAATAACTGAATAAGATCCACTGCACTAGCATCAAAATCCTTCTGATGGAACAAATTATCAGAATTTAAACCTTTCAAGTTTAAGAGAATTAGAGATATATATACTTACCAGAGATTTTAGATGCTATCGATGAAATAGTTCTAGTAGGATTGAAGCATAGTGTGAGTTTATTTTCTACTCTAGGCTCATCAGTGGCATTCTCCAAACTAAATCGACTACAAGCCAACATACATAATTCTGTAATTTCTGGATTAAAGTTAGCAGATGGTAATCCCGTAGTTTCAACATCAAATAAAACTAGAGTTGACAAGAATAGTGGTCGTGAAGACTTCTAGAAAGTAAGCAAGACAAAAACAGAAAACTTACGCCTAGTGCTGAAAATTTCATTTTACTTTACACGCACGCTTAGTAGATACGAACCTACACTAGAAAAATATCAAAAATGAATGAACAATTACTTCACATAATTGAAATCATTAGAGACACGCAAATATAACAAGGTAAAGCTTTCAGAAGAAATGTTTTGACCATATTACAATCAAAAGATGGTCATTTTAGACAATAGCATGGATAGCAATAAAATACGAAGGTGATTAGCGTCTCCTTGGCTAAAGGAGAATCCCATTAAAAAATTTCAGTCAGAGGTTACGCTAATTATTCAATTTTTGAGTATTTTGACGGCAAACTAACTAATTTAATGGTAAAATATTAGTTACAAGTGGTGGAAACTTGAATCAATACGAATTTGTGCTAAATACTGTTATTTCTGCATGGCCATTGCCTGAACTCTAGATCGCAAGGGCATTAACCTGCTACCCAACACTAGAAAATCAAGTGCGTTAGACACTAAACTTTTATTTTTTATTTTTATTTTAACACATAAGTATAGGTACAGGGAGGCACCAAATACATATGCGCCACACAAATCTCAATTGATTTGTGTGAGGGCTGTGATACCGCCCAGGTGCCCAAACCGAAGCAGGTGGTTTTCTTAGGGGGCCACACCCCGAGCCTTCGACCTGAACGTCTGATCCACAAGGCAGTGGAGCATCGTGAGGAGATGCAGTCCCATGGTAGCCGGTGACCAACGATTGGTTCATACGCCATTTGTTCCCTCAGGCAGGATACTGGAGCCCATGTGCACCATTGGTTTGGGGTCCGGTTGAAGCGCCAGACATTCGCTTTTCGTCCTCTCATTTTTGTAAACAACACCCCCGCCACGAGAAGGCAGTGAGTAGGACTTCCCTGGCAGGGGCTATATACGCATGGCCATGTGAGAGCATTTCGAGAGGGAGAGAGCACTCTCCCCACTCTCGGCCGTACCAGGGCATTTGGGGGCTAGACACTAAACAGTCAATAACAACGTAGAACTTCGTACGTACATACATCAGTTCGAGTTGCCATACCACATTAGCACGGAGATGCAGTTTTCGATTCAAATCCCGTAGTGGTAGAGGTAGTAAAAGTATAATCAGTCATCTGAAACATTAGGGTTTGAGGACGTTATTCAAGGAGTATAATCCAGTGGAATAAATTTGTAAAAAGGAAAAAAAGGACATGAACAATTCAGAATTCTAGACACTGAACCACTAGTCAGTAGTCCTGCTTGTAACTAAAACTAACGTAACTGAATGATCAAATATTGACAACTATTCTCATCTTTAAAATCTACTTATTGTGTAAGGGTTATTGAGCCAATAGTTTACAACTGCCAGGAAACCCTTACATGGAAATGTATCTTGTTTTGTTCCGGAGAACTAGTCATTCGAATGGCTTTTTAATTAACATTGCAGTAGTGAGGCTCTAAAAACGGAAGCTGGTGTGATATTAAATGAGTTGACAGTCAGAAATAAGTAACTTATACTAGTAAGAGATATCCAAAAAGACCAATTGATCGCCTTTTCCTATGTGTCCTAGTACAGTTTGATTTAATCTTGGATGCTCTCATACGACTTGTTCATATTTTGACTCAAGCAAGTCCTACACACAGAAAGGGTACAGATGTTCCCATTAAAGAGAATAGAAAATGATCGATGATTTTACGAGAACGGTAGGTACTGATCGTTCACCTGAGGGGAGAGTAAAGGAACCACAATTTTAGATCGGTGGTGTATATAACATCCAACATCCTCAAAGAACGTAAGAGATACGAGTTGTGGTGTGGAAATTTGGGATAACGTACCTTCATGCCAGGCTCTAAATCAATTATGGCTGAATTAATTCAGGCGAGGGGTACGATGAGATGCATACAAGTTACGTCATCGCAACGTAAATCAAAACATCAGGTCAAAGGTACGGTGGGGGATACTCCAAGACAAAACCTTGGATTAGTTTGAGTACTCGTGCAGTATCACAGGACTAACACTATGTTGGAAGAAAGTTAGGGCGGTCAAAATAAAAAGTGGTATCAGTGCTTGAAATCACTAACTTCTGGTCTGAGCCATGTTGGTAGATGTAGACTACTTGGTTGGAGTCCGCGCGACTATCGTAACCAATGGTTGGAGACTCTAGGTGGCTTGGCTTATAATCGATCATAGTGGCATAGGTGTATACACCCTTTGCCTGTCCTTAAACCGTGAGATATAACTTGCTTTATTTTTACCAACAAATTCCTTATTCCTGTATTATATCCTTATGTACAATCTTTCTTCTATATATTACTACCATTGAAGTAACTACTATGAATTTGGTGTTTATCTTGCTGCGCTAATGAGGTGTAGCAACTTGAACCGATGCATATATGTACTTGGTCCTACGTTTTAAATGACTGACTGACATTAGGTTAATGGAAAACGAAGGGTATGAACTACTTGGTTTGCAAACTGATTTAGATGACTGTCAAGTGATGATAACCAAATTAAAAGTTGATGTTCTTGGCGTCATTATATTTTCAGTACTCGAACGTAAATACAGAAATAACCAGAGACAAATGTAAGGAATGTTCAGCATAGAATAGTCAACTATGACAAGATGGGTCAAGTACTATGGTAATAAGTTCAACAAAGGCAGAAGATTCATGTCTCATTTTGGGTTGGAAGTTAAAACCACGGTTAATCATTACCTCTGAATTGTACCCCTTTTAAATTCAGTCAAACACAATCACCACCGAGTGCAGCAAGTAGCATTTGTGCAAGTTACTACAGCGCGTCAGCAAATAAAGATGAAATCAGCAGGATGGACAGCAAAGTAGTCAAGTAACAGTCGAATAAATGGTTTGGCCTTAAAAAAGCGTGTATCAAGTGATATTAAAACCTAAGACTGAGGGGACCATAAAAATTTTAATGAATAGGAGTCACAGAGACCGGCTCGAATACACATAACCTATATGCAATTATGTAGTTTGCGATTCAAATACCGTGTTGTGAATTACCCAATGAACAGAGGATAAAACAAACATGAGGAAACGTTTAAAAACGAAGCATGACTTGTTAGAAAAAATAATATAAGCTTTAGAACAAGACCATCCTGAGTCAACCTAATAGGGCAATTTGGCGATGATATTAAAAATATAATGAAATTAATCCAGCAGTATGGAAATAACGAGAACAAGCACAAAAAAGTGTGGGCATCTTACGGTAACCGAGTCAAATGTACTGAAACACATAGGTTTGGAACGGACTTATATTTTAAGTTACTACAAAAATTGCAGTTAATATAAACATAAGGTCAATGGTGCGTCGGGTGTCAACTAAAGTAACGAGATAATAAAGAGCCAAGGGTCGCAAACAGTTTTCAAACTATTAACCTACGCTCTTCGTGTCGTGCGCCAAAATCAGGATGATTGTATAAATTAAAAAAGTGGATACATGGATAATAAATAAACGCTAAGCTGAGAAACGATCTCAATAAGCTGTGTCATATTAAATGAATTCAAAACAAAAAGCATTTGAGATTATTCAGTGATATGACTGAGAATTTGAACCTGCCTTTGTGAGACGCTATGATGAATACAAGAAAGTCACAGGACATTTAAATAAAAGTTTAGAAATTTAAAATAAAAGCAATTCGGATATTTTTGCTGGACATCTTAACACCGTTCATGGAAGCCTACGCTTTATAAAAAATAAAGATAAAACTTAAACTAAGATGCTATGCACGTCACGAATACTCGGTAGTATCACTAAATGATTCCTGAAAAAACATCCAGAAAATGCCAGCTAAATTCTGCACTTCCGAACCAGGTACAACCTCTATTTACATGTGTTGTAACTCGTGTATTCAGCAGGAACTGGAGCGAACTGGAAGATCTAAACCACAAACACACAAGGTTAACTGAGCACGTCACAACACAGGGAGAACACGGAATGGAACCACCAGAGATTTATTTAAAAATTAAAATTCGCGGGGAGTGTACAGAAAGGCGGGGTTAGTTTACCAAACAGTCTTATGCGTCATCCTGCAGGCTCAGTGCATGCAAGGCTTGTTCTTCTTCTTCTAGAGCGTTTACTCTCGATCGCCCTGCAATAGAAGGAAAACAGAATCCATTAACACAACATACATAATGATTTTGACGCTGTTACATCGCCCCCTCTCTTAATGAGGCGCTGTCCTCAGCGCCTGGTCTTGGGCATGGATATGCTGACCCTCCTTCAGGTGGAACCTCATAAAATCTCGTGGCCGGCGGTGGTTCGGCCAACTGAACATCGGAGGAAAACGTCGTCCGATCCGGTTTTAGCTGGTTGTAGTGCACTGTTATCACGTCGTCATTAGGCCGTTGTATGTTTCGTAGTACAAACGTAGTGGGGGATCGGATGAGGACAATTTCAAAAGGGCCTTGCCAGGGTTGATGGAATTTACTGCAACCCCCTAACGAAGTCATTGGACGGCGTAGCCAGACGCGATCTCCGACTGTGTACTTTGGTCCTTGCACCTGACGATCGTATATATCTTTTTGGTGTTCGCTAGCCTTACGCAAGTTGATATTGACCAGGCGGTATGCATCAGCTAAGCGGTTGCGGAGAGTACGTATGTACGGTACATGCTCTTGTTCCTCGTAAGGTAGTAGGGGCGACTGTATCTCTACTGGTAAGCGTAATTCGTGCCCGAACAGTAACATAGCAGGTGAGAATCCCGTGGAACCGTGTATCGACGTACGATACGCTAAAAGGCATTGAGGGAGCACATTATCCCATAATTCAGGTGACGATCTGCTGACAAACGACTGTAAGATGGCTTTAATAGTCCTGTTCGTTCTTTCCACGAGGCCGTTACCCTCTGGGTGATACGCAGTAGTGTGTGTCTTCCTGATTCCCAATAGTCGGCATATTTCAGCGATGAGTTGACTTTCAAAGGCTGGACCTTGATCGGAATGAAGTGAGACTGGTGCACCATAACGAGAGACCCAATGATCGATAAAAGCTCGGGCGACAGTAAGGGCATCTTGCTGTGGAGTGGGTACTGCTTCACACCATTTTGTGAAATAATCCACCATAACCAGTATGTAGCGATTCCCGTTCTTTGTCGTTGTCAATGGTCCCATGATATCTATGCCGACCCTCTGATGTGGTCCTGTTGTCACCATCGGTGTCATTGGTGCACGGGGTGTCTGCTGAGGTGATTTGAAACGGCAACACGTGTTACAATTCTTGCAAAATCGCGCTACATCTTCATGTATAGATGGCCACCAAAAGCGTTGACGGGCAGCATGTTCCGTCCTTCGTTCTCCCGCATGACCAAGTTCACGATGTACCTGCTCCACAATGCTCTCGACTTTGACTCGCGGTACTATCAGCAGGGGTTGTTTCGATTCATTAATTAGGAATAGCGTGTCCCCATATAATTTTAGGTTACTCCATTTGGTGCAAATACGACGCGTTGTTAGGGTTTGATCCTTTAACTCCTTCCAGGATGGCTTATTGTTCCCGTGTAACTGTCTTTGGTAAATAATCTGCAGGTCTGGATCTGTTGCTTGTAGTGAGGGCCAATCAGTCTCTAACGCTGTACTCAGAATTGCGTTAACATTATTTGTGGTCTGGGGTATTCGGGAAAGGGCATCCGCGTTTGTATGTCGGTTTCCCGGTCGATACTCGCATGTGAAGTTAAACTCTTGTAGCCGTTCCTGCCAGCGTGCTACTTGCCCTTCTGGTTCGCGGAAAGAGCGGAGCCACTGTAATGCACGGTGATCCGTGCGCACACGAAAGGGTTTGCCCAGTAGATAATGGCGAAAGTGTTGTAAAAATTTTACTAGTGCTAACATCTCTCGACGTGTTGTAGAATACCGTGCTTCACTCTTATCTAATCGTCGACTGGCGTACGCGATGACTCTTTCGTGTCCATCTCGATCTACTTGCGACAGAACTGCTCCAATGGCCGAGGAGCTAGCATCCGTATCGAGTATAAATTCACCCCCGCCTGCTGAGGTATCCGGAAAGGCTAATATAGGTGGGGAGGTCAATCGTGCTTTCAAAGCATCGAACGCTTGTTGACACTCGCTAGTCCATAAGAATTTTCGTCCCTTGTGTGTTAATCGATGCAAAGGTGTTGCTAATGATGCAAAGTCGCGAACAAAGCGTCTGTAATAAGAGGCTAGCCCAAGGAAGCTGCGAACGTCTTCGGGTGATTGTGGTTGCGGCCAATTAACAATCGCACGTGTCTTTTCTGTATCTGTGCCTACCCCGTCTGCAGTGATACGGTGTCCGAGGAAGATTACTTCTTTCTGCAGCAGGCGACATTTGGACGGTTTTACTTTTAAATTGTGTTGTTGAAGGCGCTGAAGGACTGCTTTCAAATTGGTATTGTGTTGTTCGGGCGTGCTACCATACACAATAATGTCATCAAGATATATCAGGCATTTGTTGGGTACTATGTCTTGTAACACTGCTTGCATTAGTCTTTGGAAGGTAGCCGGGGCATTCGTTAAACCAAAGGGCATCACTTGGAATTCATACAGACCATTTGGTACTATAAATGCCGTTTTTTTTCTATCTTGCGGTCGGACCTCTACTTGCCAATACCCAGATGCTAGGTCCAAAGTCGAAAACCAACATGCGCCTTTCAAGGCATCTAGCGTGGTATCGATCCGTGGGAGTGGAAAGGAGTCACGTTTAGTGATAGCATTAAGGCGTCGATAGTCTACGCAGAGTCGTAGAGAAGAATCTTTCTTTTTCACTAAGACAATAGGGGATGCCCATGGAGATGACGAAGGGACTATGATCTTTTTATCTAGCATATCTTTTATCATTGCGTCGAGTTGCGGTTGGTAGTGCACTGGTACCTTACGAGGTGGCTGTCGAAGTGGCATATGGTCGCCTGTAAGAATGGAGTGTTGCACTGTAGTGGTCCGATTTCCGGAAATGCCTTCTTCAAACACAGAACTAAACTGCTGGAGCACGGCAATCGTTGTGTGACGATCATTCTCTGTGATTACTTGATTGTTATGTATCTGACGTACGAGCTCTGAGATTCCGACGTGGGTTACAGGCTTAGTTGCCCTTTGACATTGGTGTAGGTGTACTGTAGTCTCCCCTATTTTGGCTTCTGCCTTATCCATATATATAGAGACTTTGTGTTTCAACATAAAATCGACGCCCAGTATCATATCCCAGGCTAATGTTGGGCAAACTAAAAATTCATGATGAAACGAATGCTGCTCTATAGTTAAGTCCAATACTGTCTTATAACATACTTTGAGGGGTTCTCCCCCAGCTGTTATTAAAGCAGAGGAACAACGCTTTTGTTGGGAGTCATGGTTCAGTTTCCTTAGGAATGCCTGTTTGACGAGAGATACTGATGCTCCAGTATCTAACAGTACGTCAGTCCCAACTCCTTGAACTGTACCTTTTAGGGTGATAGGGCTAATATGACTAGCATAACAGGAAGATAAATAATAATGACACGGCTCACCTGGATTAAGAGACCGATTGTGGCCACATCTCCAAGCGTTTCTTTCAAATCTTTTACAATAGGAACATTCATTGCGACGACTGCGGTAGTTGTTGTCTGCTGGTCGTCTGTTCTGCAACCAGTTGGACCGCCTGTAATACATACATCTTGGTTGACAACTGTGGCAACTATTATATGGTGGTCGATTGCTCCATGTCGAGTTCGATGTCCCACGGCTAATACCTTGGCTGGGAATGTGCGAAATCGCTGTTGCTTTCGGAAGATTATCTACCTGCCTCGATTCTGTATTATGCCCTACTGTCATCAGTGAATGTTGTGGGGCTTCTGAAGAACAGGACAATCTATCTGCTGTCATAAATCTGAGCACGGTCTTCTTCAGTTCAGTGGTATTTGCTGCTGGCATTCGAAGTAAATGTTCTCTCAGGGGGTTGTGCACGAGCCCTTCTACGAAACGGGAGCGTACCAACTCGTCTCTTTTGTCGACATCTAGTTCATGGAACGCTTTTACCGCAATTTGTTGTAAAGAATCCAAGTATTCGATAGGGTTTTCACCGGCCGATTGCTGACGTGACAGAAATTGGATAGTCAGCTGTTGATTGTCCACAGGTAATGAGAAACAATCATCTAGTATACTCCAGTTTTTAGATAGCGAATTATTTGTTGAGAATCCATAAGCTGTTGCTCGTTTAACAGCCTCGTCACTGAGGAACGATACAATGTAGTCGAAATGTTCGAAAGCGGGTACCTTGCGCAGATATGCTTGTACTCTAAATTTCCAGACGGCATAGTCTGACGACGTTTCCAACGGTGGTGGCTGGCGAGGGGTTGAAGAGGGCGCAACCTTGATTGGAATCACAGGAGGTTCGTCTAGTTTCTCGTCGCATTTTTCCGTGGTCACCTCCATCACCAAATGTAACTCGTGTATTCAGCAGGAACTGGAGCGAACTGGAAGATCTAAACCACAAACACACAAGGTTAACTGAGCACGTCACAACACAGGGAGAACACGGAATGGAACCACCAGAGATTTATTTAAAAATTAAAATTCGCGGGGAGTGTACAGAAAGGCGGGGTTAGTTTACCAAACAGTCTTATGCGTCATCCTGCAGGCTCAGTGCATGCAAGGCTTGTTCTTCTTCTTCTAGAGCGTTTACTCTCGATCGCCCTGCAATAGAAGGAAAACAGAATCCATTAACACAACATACATAATGATTTTGACGCTGTTACAGTGTTACTTGCTTTGAATGGCGCCAAATATTAGGGTCGCGAGTGTAGTCGGTTTCAACAATAATAAATTTCAGACAAATGTGTTCACCACCAGGTTATTCTAAATGCTGAATTCTGAACACTTCTACTGAAAAATGTAATTTTACTCCTTTTTGATGGATAAAATAGGTAATTTGGAAAACATAGTCGCTTGAGTGGCCAAAATTTGTCATGGCTCTAAAGGAAGTGTAAGGTTTCTAGAAAATTTAAACGACTGCTTGGCGTAGGACAATGCATTCCAGTAATTCACGAAACTCCAGACGTAAACCATTTGATCTTGGTTTTTGAACTTTTTTCGAATGTCCTCTCAAATGATCAGTCTTAGACGGAAGTAAAAGATAAGACATGTTAATACCAAGGTCATCGTTCAGTATACGATAAGCCAATATTAGATCACCCTATATTCGACGGTAAGATAACGCAAATAAGTTGAGGTGCCTCAGTCTGTCTTCATAAGATAGGCCAGATAGACCTTGTACCATCTTAGTACCTCGTCGTTGGGCTCTTTCCAGCATATCTGCTTCATACTTGAAACAAGAACTCGCTGCTTGAATAACATATTTTAAATGTGTTCGCACGTAAATGGGGTATAATAATCTAAACATTTTATCATTTAAATACTGGAAAAACTGTGGAGATATGCCTGACAAGTTTATTTTGTAAAAAGTTTTTGATGTTATTTGTATTTATTCTGTTAATTTCCCACTGCATGTATATTTGTCATTAAATGATTGTACCTGTTGTTTAAGTGGATGACTTTTTCTGTTGTGATACTACATAGCGTGACACGTTTGTGGTTGTTTCCCAAATACACTACTTTGCACATACCTCTCGATCTATATTCACTCGCATTTGTGTTAACCGAAGTCTGAATCAAATACCGTTTACATTTACAGACTGTAATTGGAATATACCATATATATACCGCTGGATTATATCATTGGGGAATCCATCAAACTTACTGGAATTATTAACCATCTATAATTGTGGATATTCAATACCAGGTCAATTTGGAACACGCACTCTCCTGGTGAACTAAGTAACGTTCCTTATTTCTATTGGTGTTTATAACATTTAACTTATATCTATATATATATTATTATTTGCTATTAATAACTGTTATTATCTTTTGGATTAATATATTGTCTGGTCCACCACAAGACCTACGAATAGACCATAATACCCTATAGCCTTTTGCAGCAGCAGCCTTACAGTGACTAGTGGTTTTGAGATCACTGCTTAATATAACTCCCAAATCTTTATAGTTTCTTACCTTGGGTAGTAGCAATCCACATATTGTATAGTGATACAATTCATTATTGTTATTTAATTGCATCACTACACTCTTATTAGGATTTACTTCAAGTGAACCCCTGTCTAACCATGCCACCAATGAGCTAAGATCATTCTGTTATAGTATCCTTTCCGACATACTGTGTATGGGTTTCCAAATTTTTATGTCATCTGCGGAGAGTAGAAAGGATGATTTCGCTACATTTGGTAATTCATTTACATCAAGTAAAGAGAGAAGAGGACCGAGGATTATACCTTGGGGAACTCCACTTTTTACAGGCACCCACGAGTAAAGGGCCCCATTAACCCTTAACTTTTTGTCCTCTGTAAAAAAGAAAGTTACTTATCTAATCTACGACTGTATAATGGATTCTAAAGCGTTCCAGATTGAATTTAAGACCATAATTGGAGACCTTATCGAGGGCCTTACTTAGGTCTATGAAGATTACATCTACAGGAATATTCTGATCTTTTGCAGCAGCCCAATCTTCACTTGCAATAAGATTTCTCAAGCATGATGGGCCTCTCCGAAAACCATGTTGTTCCCTGGAGAAAAGATTATGCCCTCCAACATAGTTTATAACAGATATCCGAATGATTTTTTTCATGTTTTGCAACTGCACTAGTTAAGCTAACGGGTCTATAGTTACAAACTAAGTCCATACTCCCAGCCTTATACACCGGACTTATTATAGCGTCTTTCCAGTCTCTGGGCAGTCTGGACTGTTTTAGAGACATGCCAAACAGTATCGCTAAAGTTTCAGCAATTTAATCTGAAATGGCTTTCATAATCCTAGGATGAATATTATCACGACCACTGGACTTATCAGGTTTGATATGCTGAAGTAGCCTTAAAACAGTACCTTTCTCAATGACCACAGGATCCATCAGTGAGCCGCCACGATCACAATGAATCTTTGGTCGTTCCTCATTAGTGATAGAAAACACTTTGCTGAAATATTTCGATAAAGCTTCAGCTTTTTTGGTATCATTTTCTGCCAAGATTAACGGATTTTCTTGTATTAAAAGTGACGGAATTCCATCGCTTCTCTGAGTTCGCCATTTTATGTACGAGAATAACCGTTTCGGACTATATCTATAATCCATAACCAATTGTTTTTCATATGATCGTCTAGTCTTACTTATTAAAGCTTTACAGGCATTCCTAGTCTTACAATAACTGGATCTGTATTGTTCTAAACCAGTAGAGATGAACATATTCCAGTGCTTCTTCCTTCTTCTAAGAAGTTTATTGACTGGCTTAGTTATCCACGGTGGACTGTTATTCGGTTTTTGAGGCACCAGGTATGGTATGAACGAGGACGTAACTAAACTAAACTCACATTTAAATACAGACCATGCTTCTTCAACTGATAAGCTAGTATCTACAAACCAATCTGTCTTAGCAGCGTATTCCTGAATGGCTGATATGTTAGCTTTCCATACATTTGGATGGGGTGTGACCTGATCGTATAACATCTCCCTAGTTCTGAACGAGAATGACAAAACAGCGTGATCGCTGTTCACTAGCTGTGGAAGAATATCTAGGTCGACAATATCCTCAGTCTCATGAGTTGTAATGGAAAGAGAACGATGAAAATCCGTCCACAGACTTTTTTGTTGGACAGTATTTTTATTTATTTGTTTCTTCTCCCTGTCATATATTTTAACCTTTGTTCAGATCTCGTTTGAGCTTTTATTATGTGATTTTGATTAAAAACTTATCTTTTTGTTACCTAATTTTTAATTGCATGTTGCTGGACTATTGACAGTGA